GACTCAACTACATCAGCTGGCCTGAATGAGTGTCGCTGCGAAGCTTGTTTCGCACAGCCTTGAACCCCAATTCAGGATCAAGAGTAGTCGTGCCTGTTTGAAACACGTGCTCTACGACACGCAACGGCTCGAGGCTAAGGGCACTTGGGTTTGCCGATCACTTGTCCACCATAGATGCGAATGGTGTCGCAATGCAACACCTGTGCTCAACTGTCCGCTTATGATTATTGTAAGAACTCTGCATTCTCAGCGCTTCGCCGAGATTGTTGAAAGCAGGTCTTGCGCCATCTTTATTTGAAGAAGAAAAGACGGTAAGCACCACAAGGCTCCGCCTACAACGGAATTCCGGCCAATCATATTAGGGCCTGGCTAAGGTGATTGGCCAAGCCGATGGTGATCGCTAGTTACTCAATTTGGTTAGTTCTACACGAGCATGAGCTAGTTCCTGTCACCTAATACGGCAGTGGATGTCAAATAGTGCTGTCAATCTCTCATTCCAAAATAACAACAATTCGCGATCACTTTCAATCATGCATTGGCCCACCTTTCTCTCATCATTATCTGCTCTGTTGACAATTCGCGTTATCAAAGCCGACGATTTATCGCAAAGCAGCTGTCCTCTCCTAGGCCCTGTGCTACCGCCTAATCCACAACTTCACCAGTCATTAGCCGTATCTAAAGCAAAGGAGAACTTGCCTCAACTCTTACAAAAAACTCTTGCAAATCTCTCATACAGCGCCACAACCTCCTTCTCTGTAGCTGTGTTTTCCGGATTCGACAACCAATCTCTCGTTGATTATCACTTCGCGGCTCCCAAACTCAATAATACACTCACATCTGGATCCTTGAATCGAAACACAGTCTATCGTGTGGGCAGTGTCACCAAATTGACAGTGGCATATACTCTGTTAGTTCATTCTGGTTTTGGGATCTTGCAGGAACCTATAACGAAATTTATCCCGGAGTTGGCAGAAGCGGACAAAATCAATGCGAATGACCTGGATAGAGTCGAGTGGTCCGAGATTACTGTAGAGTCACTCCTCAGTCACTCCTCTGGCATAACGCGAGATTGTATGTAGACACGTCCTCATCTGCAGAATACGAGAAGTGACTGACATGTCCCAGATGGTTCACCTGACCTATCTAGCCTACTGAACGCGACTCAGGCAAAAGCTGCAGGTCTACCTGCTTTAGATAAAGCCGAAGTACCGTCCTGCGGGATTGGACTGCCAATTGCTTGCTCTAGAGAACGTAAGTATTTGCACCTTCCACAAAAGGTCCCAGAAAGACGAATAGGCTCGAGAACTGAGTATCGAGCCCATCTACTTATGTAAATTCATAGAATACTTTCGAAGCCTCGTCAATGTCCATCCCATCACAGCCCCTTATAACACTCCCGTCTATTCCAATACAGCTTTTGCGCTCCTCGGCTTTGTGATCCAGAATGTTACAGGCCTGTCACTAGAAAATGCACTGCGCACAATACTCGCACAGCCTCTTGGTCTGAATTCAACGTCCTACCAACATCCCTCAAGTAGTCCCAACGCTATCGTTATCCCGCCTGTGGGCGGCCTAGACTACTGGTCCGCTGATCTCGGGTTTGCAAACACTGCTGGTGGCCTCTTCTCTACAACAGCCGACATGACAAAGCTTGGTCAGTCCATATTGCGCTCAAGTTTACTCTCTCCTAGAGACACACGAAAATGGATGAAACCCCATACTCATACCTCAACGGTATGGGCTTCGGTTGGTGCGCCGTGGGAGATACTGCGTATGGAAGTGCCGCTATCCAATACCACAAATCAGACAAGGGTTTTGGATCTTTATACCAAGTCTGGCGATCTTAGCACATACTCCTCAATGCTGATATTGGATGTGGACCACAACGTGGGTTTCTCAGTCATGGCTGCCGGTAGTTCGCCTTCAACGATGGTTCGGATCATATCCGACATTATCGCGGAAGCGTTCATCCCAGCATTTGAAGAGGCGGCCCGTGAGAATGCGGCGAAAGAATACGTTGGGACCTATGCGACTGGTTCTGGATCCAATATCACGCTTGCATTGGACGATCGCCCAGGCTTAGGCATAAAGAGCTGGTTCAGCAATGGAACAAGCGTATTGGCAAGCATCTCTGCACTAAAGAGGATCGATTCGAAGCAGACGCTAAGCTTACGGCTATACCCAACGAAGCTGTCGACTGCGACAGAAATAGGCTTTCGTGCTACCATCGAGTCGTTCCCCAAAGCTCCCAAGCGCGGAATCATCAACTCGAATTGCCAGAGTTGGCTCATGTTGGAAGTTGGGTTATTGTACGGCGGAGTAGTTTTGGACGATATTGTTATCCAAGTGGATGTGTCTGGTCGGGGAGTAGGTGTGCAGCCTCGGGCTTTCAGAGAAACGCTTCGACGTCTCAACTAGGCGTTCTAATAAGGACATGTGGTCTTGATTACGCGTTGTCAAGTTGAGCGATTGTACAGTACAAAACAACCAATTTTTGAAGGATCACGCCCAAAGTTATCAAGACCATAGATTCGTGGCATATTGACACTGTTGCTTCCGAGTTATTAGTCTTCAGTTTTTTGCTGATTAGCAGGATTGCAGAGGTGTAGAGGCTAGGTGTAAAGTATTTTATCTTACCCCACACTGTATCAATCTTGATTGGACCCTCACAATACAGCCATTCCATTAGCAGCCCGAACATCTCTACAGAAAACAGCGTCATTTTCTGACAGCTCATAGTTGAAGGACATGAGACCGCGCATCAAGTAGAGCCAAGTTTGGCGAATTCACTCAGTTTCCAATTGCGAAGTTGTGAAAAGCACCTTGATTTTTGCATCACCAACACCTGACAAATGGCTATTACAATCGAAAATCACCCACCTCTTCCGACGAGACTGAGATGTATCACCTAACAGCCAGATATTGAACATTGCCTTGATACTGCTTCACAAGCTGATGATCCAAAGCGGGACTGGCCAATTATATCACGCTTAACATTGATGCCTATCTCACACACGCGTCCTAAGCTGTCATAAACATCGTTTCTCCTCAAATCTTTTCTTTCTTCTTTACTTTATTTTCTGAACCGCGCATCAGTCGAAATGAGTTTCGCACCATATCACGATGTCGATTCGAAGACAGCGATGGATGAATTAGTCCTTCCTGAACATGCCATCGCTGTGCTGGCACAACGTCAACGCAAACGAGCATGCGTTCGCAGACAGATCAAGAGAATATTCTTCATATTGGGTTCCTTTTCACTTATTATCTTTCTTTTCCCAACACTTGCACGTAAAACTGGTGAATATTTCGGAATGAAAATGGTGAGGCTGTTACATTTCTCTACCAGTCGCTCTCAAGAGAAACCACTAATTATATTACCAGCATAAACAAAATGAATGGCCAAACCTTTGTCATAATCTTGAATCGACTAGGTCACTCACATTCGAATTTGAAAACCTCCAAAAGAAGTTTGACTTCACAGAGGTGTTCGACCGTAGCAACCAACAGCATGGCTGTCAGCAACTCCATTCGGGACGTGCTTTGAGAAGCGCAATACAACTGCTGCCTGCGCCTCAGGACCAGAAATTTGATATTGTGGTTTCTGTGTCATTGAATGCAAGCAATGAAATCTTGACTGAAAGTGTTACTTGGGAAAGCTCGGATGATTCCCTCGTACTCAAACTGCCATCGTTGTGGCAAGGGTGTTTGATGGTTGACGTGGACGTATTTGTGCGGCAAAACTTAGCTTTGGATACCTTCTCCATCACAGCAAATGCGTCCAGCGTAGATATACCAACCGCTCTTGGCTTGCTTGTCAACAAACAGACAAATATTAACTTAAACGCTGGCTCCCTTTCCGCTTACCCGTTCTTACAATCCCGAAAGACACGCATAGTTCTTGATGCTGGGTCTCTAAATGGTGATTACGGTCTGTACGACGTCCTTGATATCTACGCTAAAGCCGGTGTTGTCCTCGCCAATATTACACCGCAACCTGCCGACAACGAAAATCCAGCCCCAGCGAACTTGACAGTTGGGACTGGTGCTGGAGGCATAAATATTAATTACCCTCCCAAAAGTATGAAGGAGAAAATCCCTGAGCGAGACTATTACACCACGATTACGACAAAGCAAGGCTCAATACGCGGATGCTATCTGCACGGCAAAAACACAACCGTCAGCACTAGCCAAGGAGAAATTCTAGCCGACATTCTACCTTACGCTGCTGATTCATCTGAATCTACTCTCGATACAAGCACAGGTGCCGGCGCTCATAGTCTTAAAGTGAGGAGTCCGTATCTCAATCCAGATACGCCAATCAAGAGATTAAACAGCAAGCACTGCACTTCGGTGTCGAGTCTGACTCTGGAGTATCCACCTGAGTGGGAGGGTACTATTGAAGGGAAGGTCAACGTTGGGAGTTTGTCAGTGTCTGGTGACGGTTTGCGGGTAATCGAAAAGGGAAAAATTGGTGTGGTGGGCCAATTTATAAGAGCCGAGAAGGGCGGCGGGAACTCTACCATTGACTTCTCTTCGGAAGTTGGACGTGCTTCTTTGAGTGTTGGCTGACGGAGCGTTTCGAGAAACTGCTGAATCAGCTTGGCCGTTTGAGACCAGGAATTGTTTTGACTGTATTCAAAAACATGATGATGGGTTGTAAGCAGTCAATGAAATATATAACACCCAGCTTTCGAAGTACTCCCTTTTGCAAAATGGGACTCACATGATGCGGAGATCCGGACGTGTGTAAACCTATTGTTGTCATAACAATATTATCATTGTGCTCACATTTCCTGTTTAATCACCACACTGTTTGTGCTAGTAGCGCAGGTATATCATAAAAGATTTCTGATTCATTTACCTATCGCAAATGTCATGGACCAAGACTGTGGGCAGTGACATCCAAATTCCAATCAGGTAGCTATAGTACCGTGGTAGAAAGAATTATGCGCAAAAACCACAAAAGAAGAGCTCGTCCAAAGACAAGTGATTTAAATTGAACGTACTAGGATTCGAACCTAGAATCCCCCGCATCGTAAACGAGTGCCTTACCATTAGGCCATACGTCCTTGTTGAATGGTAGACAAGTGCGTGTGGACGATTATGACATGAGACTGTTTCTCAAGTTTTGACTCACCATTATGAGTCGTAGAGTTCACGTGAGAGTAACAGCATAATTCGGCAAGCACACAGATTCGGATGCTCATGAGATTTAGGAAACAGGTATCGAATATCTTAGGTATCATTGTCTGTACGTCTAAAATCTAGAACAATGCATTAGTGGATGATAATTCTACACTCGCGAATCCCTCAACTCCTTGGTCAAATTATCTCTCACAGTGCCTTTGAGCATTCTTCCCTCCGCCCAGCGCGATACCCTTATAATCATGGCAAACCACCCTCACGTGCCTCCCCAAACCAGAAAGCGAGATCACGCAGGGGCTGACTCCTCTTCACCGAGCTTGAACTGTTCCTGAAATTCTTGTCCTTCTTGGAACAGATCTATCAAGCAGGATGCCGACCAGGCTTGTGTAGGAGACTACCGATATAGTTAGCAACCAAACTTCAGACTCCATCCACACTGTGAAATAACATACCGAATCATCACAAAACGCCCCATTCTGATTCGTCAACTCCGTCAAACCGGCCCAAGGACTAGATTTGATAGCTTCCATACACCCTTTCAAGCGTCTAGTAACCTGCTGGAAACTTTCCGTCCTCTCCTCCGGCGTCTTCCGTCTCATGAGATCGAATTTGAGGAAAGCTCTGAGGAAGTAGCCTCTCGGCCATATCCATTCGGGTCCTTGGTGATAATTTCGTCCCTTGGAGGTGGCAAAATCGGTAGAGTCCTCGCTGTTATGGTAGTTGGGTCGGTAGTTTAGGTCGGAAGGATCAAGGGTGGCCATACCAAGGGGGCCTCGGAGCACTTTGTCAGCAACTTCGAGGGCGCCGCGTGCGAACTCGGGGGTGAAGAGGTCAGGAGCGCAGACCATTGCGATGGGGAAGTTTGGTCGGAGTTGGTAGTCTTCATATGGTTTGCCGGATTTGTAAAGGTCCTTGTATATGCCTCTCCTGTTGATGATGCTGGGGTCGACATCGTAATCCGAATCTTGCGATGGTGACGTTGGGATATAGTAGCATCTTTCGAAGTTGGCTTTGATCTTGTTGGCCCACTTTGCGAAAGTGATTGTGTCCTTGTTTTTACCCATAGTCACAACACCGTATTTGTACAGGCCCTTTGAATGCAACTCAGCGACCCACTTGACAGTGCTATAGAGCATTCCGGTGATCTCGACTGCAGCACCATCACGTGGCGTGCCAGGAACGCCTTTACTTCCAGCCTTTTCAGACTCCCCCATTTTGTCCATCCAGGTACCGCAGTTGTCTTGGTTACCACCAAAGACCATTCCATTTTCCCAATCGACGGCGTATTCCAGGTTGAACCCATTGTCCTTCATTTGCGAATCCAAATTAGGGCCGGCGTTGTATTCTCGGAACTTCTGGCCTGTGGCATGTTGCTGGAGAGCTTCCTGAATGATTTCCTCAATTGTAGAAGATTTGGAATATGCCCTCGGATCATCGTACTCGAACCAAGTATCGTCATATGGCAGAAATCGTCGTCGCACTGATTCTTGGAGTATGGCCAGTCCCTCAGGAGCAAGCTTGCAGTAATCCTGTATGCACTGCAGGAAAAACCAGATCGAGTCGCGTGAGTTGTAGCGTGGAGATTTTCCACTCCCCAGCAGATTAGGAACAGTGCCATGCTTGAGAACCGAAGCAAAAGCAAAGATGTGCTCTTTCGCATCTTCCCACCTGCCAGTAGCGATCATCAGTCCACGGAGTGAAATCATGATATCTCGACCCCAACACCTCGCCCAGTCAGAGCTGAAATGAGGGAGACCTGCTGACATACTTGGAACAAGCTTATCAGGCCAGAGGGAAGCGTTGTCCATGTACCCGATACATTGAACTGATACCAATGCCAGTTGCTGCAGGAAGTCTTGACCCTGTTGAATGTTGGGTGACATCAAGGCAATGGACCTGTCTACACAAGCAGAGTACAACGTCTGGATGACCATTGCAAAGTATCGTGGTAGCATGAAACTAGGCACCTCGCGAATAGCAGCGAACCTGTCTTCCAACCACTTCGCAGGTTCCGCAAACCAGGAGTCCTTTTTGGCCGCACGTTCAAGTCGTCCGAAGCAATAGTCGAGAGCCCAAGTTCCTTCTCTAAGGTGTTGACAAATTGGATGACCAAGGTCATTCTTTTCAACAACATCACGGAGAACACTCCACCAGCCTTGAAGCCCGGCGTATACCAGAGGACCAGAACCTGGAATGACGTAGACCCCGTCCTTCCCACCCGATGACTGGCGTTCTTCTGGCTCACATCTATAGAGCAGGAAATTCAGGTCTGCGAGAGTAAGGTTTTTGCATGCCTCAGCTCCGCCGCTTGTTATGAACTTGTCTAAACTCTCATCGCGTCCAGCGCCAGGGATAGAGGTCTCGAAGAGGGCGATTGAGCCAGGCGGAAACTTATCGCCAACCCTGATTGTGGTTTGGTTGTCCGCCCAATCGCAAGTAACGCCATCGAGTGCCTTCACTCTGCTGGGCAGACCACGGAGGACTTTGTCATTAATGGCTACCGATACCGTGTCTGCTGATGTATCGACCTCCAATGTCCATGAACCCAGGCTCTTTGCTTTAGTACCAGGGATGTGGACAGGGGGGAAACCGCCATTCCCGTTTCCATACCCTGGGAACGCTGTGTGAGCGATCAGGAAGTATCCTTTCCGAGACCGAGGGTGTACACGGTGAATTGTGATATATTCATGATCGTGATGTATAAAAGTTTCGTCATATCCATCTTTGCCCATAAGAACATGAATGTTATTCAGCAGTCTCTTGAGACCTCCAATTCCATTCGCAACTGAAAGGGCCTTGACATCATCACTGGAATAGGGGGATGTATATTGTCGTTTCTCGTGGACAAGCTCAATCAATCGTGGATAAACCTCGTCGTAGCCGAAAACGCTACCAGTTGCACAAGCGCACATCGAAACCAAGGCAGCATTGGGTAGGGTATCGCGCGCATCCCTTTTCTGGGCCGGAGTTTCGTTGTCATGCGTACAGTCCATGAAGAGAGCATGCACGGGGCTTTCCTTGATAGTGCGAATGACTTCTCGGCTGGTTAGAGCAGCAGAACCACTGGCTGAAGCCTCATACGCGGATTTCTCCACGTTCATTACAGCATCGGTGTCAAAACTTCCAATGGGTACGCCGGCATGTCGATGCACCAAACGGCTTAGTTCACGAGTTTCCCACGCTTGCATAGCTTCCCGAATGAGGCAGCTAAGTCCAAGTTGCTCAACGTACTTGAAGTCCATTTTCTCGTCACCCGAAAACAGTTCGGCAACGCAGACGAGGTCAGGTCGTACTCTCCTCGCTCCATCGAGCATGTATTGTGCCAGCGGCAGCGGTGTAGAATGGCAGTTGTCAATGCGAAATCCGTGGAAATACTTGGCCATCAGGCGCGTATACTTTGCTTGAAAATCCCACAAGAATGGATTGTCTTCCCTGTGTTTACCGTACCGTAACTTGACACAGTCGCCCCACACAATGACCTCTCTTCGGAGATATGCTTTCGATTGTGGACCAGCATTATCCTTCATCACATCCGCAGCCCAAATCCAGCCGTTGTTTGCGAGATCTAGACTCGTCTCATCGTGTTTGCTGGTGGTCTTGTTCCGCGGTAAGCGAGTAAAATAGCTCTCAATCAGCGGACTGTTTGGTGTGATCGGTCCTTGTTTGGGCCCATGATTGTCAAGTCGTACATATTTTATTCGGTTGTAGAGTTGGTCTATGATAGCAGCGCAATCCGCGTCGTACTCCTTGTACAACTGCAGATTGGCCTCTTCGAGGAACTTGTGAATGACTCCATAAGCAGCCCGTTCGCTCGCAGTATCCTGTGTGCGTGGATCGTACGGTCCTAACAACGCGGCCAGCAGAATAGCACCAGTCTCCGGTTGTGCTTTCCGTCGATATCGCTCACCCATCCGATCATCCCCAACAATAACACTATCCATCACGAATCCCACCTTCTCATGCATGGGCAAATCCCTGAAATAATCCAGGCCTCCCATACCGGCTGGCCATAGACTTCTTTCGGAGTAGTCCACTTTCCCACTCTTCCAAGCATCAACAACTGCTTTGCTATTCTTCTCCACGTCGCAGATGTAGAATTCCCAAAGCTTGATCTTGGCGATGACATGTTCCTTGATACCGGCAATGATCTTCAAGAGGTCATCATTCGATTTCAAATCGGTGGCATACCCCAAGCTCTCCAAATTTGCGCCGAACTCCAACAGCTCGTTGTCCAGGAGGAGCGCAGATTCCAGATGCGGCGCAGTTCTGACGCTATAGCCAGCTTCAGGATGTTCCTCCAGCCATTTGCTGTTGTTGGCAGTATGATTCCAGACGATATCCGTAAGACTCAGCAGTCCATACTTCTCTTCCATGTTCTTCACCAGTGCTGCAACGTCGGATTCGCCTTTTGGAAACACCTCCGGATCAAAATTGTGCTGATCTGCAATGCTGTATGGGGAATTCGAATCACCTCGTACGTTCAACGGCGTGAAATGGACCATGTTGTATCCACGGTTTGCAATGCCCGCAAGATGTTTCTCCCAGTCTGTAGGATATTGGCCCATGAATTTCGATATTGTCGAGAAAAGTGAAACAGCGTTTAGGGGTAGCTGCTCGCCATGAACCGTCAGATTGGGGCATACATCCAAATAGAACGTCTCCGTTCGTGTAGGCGGTGGTACTATCACATCATCCGTAGTACTGTAATCGGGAAGAGGAGTATAAGTTGTATACCAGTCGAAAGCACCGGCTGCGTAGATTGGTATATCGAAGTTGATGGGCTTGTTAAAGTCGGGCTTCAATTTGAATTGTCTGTATTGGTCCCGCTGGAAGTCCTCGCCTTTTTCGGGGATATTCACCCAAAGGCTGCCTTCTCTGCATATCGAACTTGTGCCTTCGATGACGAAGCGGACAACGTAAGGTG